AGCAGGGAGCCCGATGCAGGGCTCGATTGTGACTTAAATTGTGACTTTTTAAATACATAGTTCACTGAATTTTTTTTCTTAAAAAATCTGAAATTATCCAGTACCTTTATATATGTCTTGAATGAGATAAGGAACTAATATGCCTTCACTACTCCTCAAACATTTTTCTATATATGATCACTAGGCCACATCTGAAAATCAGGTTAAGTCTTATACTTTACTGATTGGGGGGCTCCGTTTCTCCCCTCTGGACTATTTTAAAACAAACTGAAGAATTATAAGTATTTCAGTATTCATCTTTTTAAAAATAGATGTTTTATTACATAAACACAATGTCATTATTGTAACAGAACTAAAATAATTACCAATGTCCTATAACCCAAGTTCATAGTCACATTTCCCCAGTTGTGTGTTTTTACTGTTATTTTGTTTGAATCAAGACCAAACAAAATCCACATTTCACTCCTTCCACTGTTATTTCTGTGGCTCTAGTCACATCATCTCTCACACGAATTACAATAGCTTCCTAACTAGTCTTCTTCCTTCAGCTCCGTACCTCTTCTTTTTTAAGGTTTTATTTTTATTTATTTGACAGAGAAAGAGAGAGCATAAGCAGGGGGAATAGCAGGCAGAGGGAGAAGGAGAAGCAGACTCCTCACTGAGCAAGGACCGTGGGATCATGACCCAAGCTGAAGGCAGATGTTTAACCAACTGAGCCACCCAGATGCCCCAAATCCCTACCTCTTCAATCTATTTCAACACAGCAGTCAGAATGATCCTTCTCTCCTGAAACTGTTCAGTAATTTCTTTTTTTAAAGAGTATTTATTTGAGAGAGAGTGCACACACGTGTGCAACCAGGGGAGAGGCAGAGGGAGATAATCTTCAAGCAGACTCCTGGCTGAGCTCGGACACCAACCCATGGGTTGTTTACTCCATTCCAGACACACTGGCCTCCTTGAAATCTATGAAATGTGCCAGGCATGCTCTTTTCACAGGGTCATTGTACCTGCTATTACCTGTTCCTGGAAGTTTCTTCCCCGGTTATCTGTATGCCGGTATCCCTTACTTCTTCAAGTCATTACTTACGTATCTTTTCACTGAGCTGTTAAAAATTAGAATTTGCACCTCCTCTTGCCTTGCTAGGTTCAGCATTCCCTATCTCATTCTCTTTTTTATTTGTGCATAGCACTTATTCTCTCTAGAATAACAATCTCCTGTGAGTGGTAATTTTTGTCTATTTGATTTACCGCTGTATTTTAGCATCTAGAACATTTCCTGAGACATAAAAAACAAATGTTGAATAAATGAATGAATGTCTACTTATCAAATTTCATAACTTCAATTTTTATTCTTTAGTTTGCCTTTCAGGAGCCCAAAACACACTTATCTTAAAGTCCTTTTCAGGCTATTCTATTATTTTCATTTTGAGTAGACTGAAATTTCAAAAAAGGTGTTGGTTAACCATTTGTCTTATCAATAGGTTTCTTCACAAATTTGAAATTTTGATTTACAGTGGGCTTTTTTCTTTCATTTTATTTTTCTTTCTTTCCTCTGGGTTCATCCTTTCTAACAGTTTTAAGTTGCCTCCAAGTTGTGTCCTAGAAACCCCAATTCAGCCAAGTGTTACATGCTGATTCACTGCTTCAGTTCTTTGGTGATACTGTATCACCAATTCTTTGGTGAAAACCAGTGTCTTTGGTGACAAACTGAGTAAATTGCAACTGAGCAAATTACAAACTGTGCACTTCTGCCAACCTTGGGCTCATATCTTCCTATATGAGCTGGAGCCCCACATATCATTTGGAGGTAGGTTTTGCTGCTTAGTCTCCTTTCACACGTGGGAGGAATCCCAGCTCGGCCCTTTGCCCAAAGCAGTGCTGTTTTGGTCCCCTTTTTCATTCCTGTTATTTTTGCTATTAAAAAAATCCATTTCATCAGAGGATCATCGATTTTATTAATCTTTTAAATAACCTGCTTGTGGCTTTACTATTTTCTTCTACTTTCCTTAGGATTTTTTATTTTCTTATCCTCTTGAGATCAATGCTTAATTCATTATATTTGGGGCTTAAAAATTATCTAAAGCTAGACATTTCTCTTCTAGTACTATTATCGCCTCTCACAATTTTGAAATGTAGTAGCACTTTTAGATCCCGTTACCCCTGCCAAATTAGAACTTCTACACTGGACCTGGAGTCAGGCAGGCTGCTGCTTCAGCATGGTTCATGGTTTCCTCCTTTATTTCTTGTTCTTGGATATATTTTTTGGTTTTGAACTCAATTTCCTCTTATCTTTATCATACTAAGTTTGGAACAGAGGAGGTGCTTTAGAGCATCCACTCAAGATGTTATTTGATCAGAAGCCTTGGGACATCTTTCTCTCTCTTACAGCAGGTAAAATAAACACATTTTTATTGATTTTTTTCCTTCCATATATTTTATTTTTCCTTCCATGTATTTATTTTTAAAAAATTTTTAAAGGTTTTATTTAAATAATCTCTATACCCAACATGGGGCTCAAACTCACCACCCCAAGATCAAGAGCCCCACATTTCTTCTAACTGAGCCAGCCAGGTGCCTCATCCTTCCATTAATTAATTAATTCTTAATTAACTGACTGATTTTTAAAGTAGGCTCCACTCCCAGCCTGGAGCCCAAAACAGGACTAGAACTCACAACCCTGAGATCAAGATCTGAGCTGAGGGGCACCTGGTGGTTCAGTCAGTTAAGCATCAAACTCTTGATCTCAGCTCAGGTCCTGATTTCGGGGTCGTGATTTCAGGCCCCGCACTGGGCTCCATGCTGGGCATGGAACCTACTTAAAAACAAGACCAAAAAACCAACCAAACAAACAAAAAGACCTGAGCTGAGATTGAGTTGGACACTTAACCTACTGAGACAACCAGGCACCCCCTTCCATATATTTAAATAGAACTTCCATGCATTCAAATTTTATTTTGATGCAATTTTATCTTGCCATTTATATTACCTCTTATGCCAAGTTGCATCAACACATTCACAAGCATCTTTCCATGTAAGACTCTAGACAGCTAATGTTTATTTCCAACAAATTTTGGAGGTCTTTTGTAAACGTGATCTTATCATTCAGGCAAGTTTGTTCTTAATATTGTTACAGTGGTGTCTCCGTTTCAGGGACTGTTAAGCTGCTGAGGTTGTAGAACTCCTCTCCAATTAATTTTCTGTTAACAGAACTGAAGTCCTAATCTGTTAAAACCAAGACAGAGATAGGTTAAGCTCAGATTTTTTTTTTAAAGATTTTATTTATTTGAGAGAGAGAGAGCACATGAGAGGGGGGAGGGTCAGAGGGAGAAGCAGACTCCCTGCCGAGCAGGGAGCCCGATGTGGGACTCGATCCTGGGACTCTAGGATCATGACCCGAGCCGAAGGCAGTCACTTAACCAACTGAAGCTCAGATTTTTAAAGGGAAACTCAGGACTCAGTGTTATGTATGAACTTCACATGGGGTAAAAAAAAAAAAGAAGAAAAGAAAAAAAAGAATACATATAACAAGGCCTGTCCAAAAATACTGGTTTGATCCTCAGTATAAAATTAAATTGCTGGTAAATTGTAGGTCATTGCCCTGGTAAATGTTTCCTGGAACATTTCCTACCCAAAGCCAAGACTGTCATACCTATAACCTAAGATTGTCCTTTTGAAAATCAAGCACTTAATAAAAGTTATTTTTCTCTTTAAAAACTAGCTTTATTTAAAAGAATCTGAAGCATAACACTATAGGAACAAACTTACAATACATATTGTTCAAGAAAGCCTGCCATACATAATTTCTACTAATAGTAGGTCTAAATACTGATAAATAACATTCTTTATACAATGCACAAATGACATTTAGTATGAACCTTGGAAAAGAATGGCCAACATTAACATGGACTGTTTTGATAGTAGAACTTCTACTTGTCTTACTACTTATATTAGAATAAAAAAGTAAAATGTGGAAGATAAGTTAAACTCTCTTAAATTCTACCATGGTGTTTAAGGAAGAAAGAAAGGGATCAAAAGGAGGAAAATATAAGAATTAAAGATCTTAAAGAAAAAGGAAAATTGGCTTACCACTATTAATAGTAATTATTAAAAAGTAATTCAGAATTGAGAATTTGTGGTTTAATACTTGGAAGCCCTTAGACAAACTATCCATTATCCACTATATTCAATCAGTTACTGAGCCAATTTTAGTTCTCTGAAAACTAACCTGTACAAAACCAAAGAAAATAAACAATTTGGGGGTAACCTAGTCATTTCATACTTTAAATCTTTCCACAAAGCAATTCATGAATCATTTAATACTAATACTTCTTTAAGCCTCTATGACAGACTCATTTTAAGAGATTGTATATGAAGATACCAGGAAAAAAATAAATCCCTAATATGTAATTCTAAATTTTTAACCCCCAAAATAGACCCATGTAAACACGGGCATTCAGATCAAATATAATGGAATTGTGCCACAGTATGGAATATGGCATTTTTTTAAAATATCAAGAACTGAATCAGATTTATTGCTATGTCAGTCTTATCAATAGCTGACAATCAAACATACAAAATACACCAAAACAACCATGCCAAAAATGATGTTGTAAAGAGATATCATTAACATAACATAGGTAAACATTTATCTTGTAATATACATCACTAATATAGTAAAACCTTATTCAGGATAGTAAGAATTGATAAAAGTCTAAAAATTTGAATACTTTAAAAAGTTATGCAGTTTAAGCACTCATAAGCATTCTTTTTTTTTTTTTTTGCTTTCAAGTATACAATTTCAAATATACAAATTTGCATTGGCCAAGTATTACCTATTACAATTCTTTTGGGTACTTGTTTTAAAGACAAAAGAATGCTTTTAAAATAGTATTCTCAAATAAACGCTCTATAAAGCTTAATATTTTCCCAAGATTAAACATTTTTCTTTAAAATCTTGATTATGCCTTTTATTAATAAACATTTCATCAGATAATACAAAGTAAACACCACTCAAGTCCTTGTATCAATGTTTACAAATTCTAAGTAAATTAGAGGACTTTTATGGTATTATAATAGCTTCTTAATAAATGAAGATTAGTATTTCTACTTATTGTGGTTATGGTGAAGTGAATGGTATCTTTTTTGGTTGGAAGATATCAGAGTAGGTTCAAAGTCTAGTATATAATTGTAATGGTAAGGGCTAAAAAAAATCCTAATATGCACAATCAATTAAGATACTAATTCCTTGGTAAGTTATAACTGTGAGAGGAAAATAAAATTTTTAAGAAGTATTTATTGTATTATGAATTGCTAACACCAAATTTTAACCCCTCTCCCATTTCAAAACATCAGGCCATCTACTAATCCATAAATATTGATGTTTCACATACTTCATAGAGTAGCTTAAACATACCAGCATAAGAAATAATTAGTATTACATAGTAATTTCCTTTGCCATAGGAATAAATGTTGGACAAAGTCTGGAAACATTTTATTTTCCAATTTGAATTACAGTAATTTTGCCACAGACCACAGCACTAGTGCATGTGTTACTTTAGACATGCTCTAAGAAAACAAAACAAAAAATTACTGCAAAAATACATGTCACCAATGTGGAACACACTCAGATTTGTATAAAAGTACTGAACTAATATCCCAAAAAGAGGTATATGTAAACAGTACATAAGGAAGAAATAGTTTTAATATGAAACAGTCATTTAAGTCACATACATCATGATAAGAAGCAGGACTTTCTTTTATAAAAGATATTTTAACTAACAAGCAACATCATCTATATCACCTACAGAACAAGAAAAGTACAAGTCTTTAGAATTAGTTTTAATATAATTGCAAGTAATGTATTTTGACAAACTGACAAAGATGAAGCTTATCCATTGGGTTTCATTAAAAATTTTCAAAGACATACAGGCAGCCTCTGATGTCCTCATGTCTGGCTTAGAGATAGCCACTTTTTATTTCCCCTAGACCGTATGTCTTGGGAGATGTTAATGCCAGCCCTACTCCAGGAGTACCTCTAAACTTCCACCTCGGTACCAAGAGTTAGAAAAATGCAGATGTGACTTCTATACTGTTCTATTGGATAAACAGAATAGGGGAAGTTACTCATTTTGGAAATGAGAAGAAACCTCTGAGTTCAAAAGTTGAGGAAAGAAAACTGTAAAAAGTCCCAACAATCTAAAGGAAATTGGGAAATACTCTCAAGACGGCATCCATCAATTTGATAAAAATACTGCTTCCCACAGTGCCTGAAATGTGGTCATATTTTCTGAAATCTTATTAGATAAAAATTCATCCTGAACTAATAAGCAGTCTTAAAAAAAAATAAGGTTTAATCCCACTTTCTTTACTATCTTCATTCACATCTTGGTGGAAAACATTTTTCCCTTAAAATCTAGCCAGCCATAAGCACAGAAAAAATGGGAATTCTGAATAGAGGAAAGATAAAATTTTGAAGCATAGAGCATCCAGTAAGGGAAAAGGCAAGTTGGCTTACATAGTATTCCACCGGAGGGTTTAGGATGGTAAGAGGACAGCTAGGAAACACTAACACCAAGAAACTTAACTTTCCTGAATCCCATCAGGAAAAAGGAAAGACCTCTATTTCTACCTCCTACATTGATTGGTTCCCGAAAGAAAACTGAGTGCTCAGCATGATACTATTGGTTAACTACATTATGGTTTAAATAAGCCTTTATGAGCTTTCCTAACAATCTAATCATTTTATATAATGTTCCAAACCACTATTTACAAATGACCTTTGGGAGCCTGGATGCTCTTAATTGAACTTTTTAATTAAAAAAAATCTAAAATAGCACAAATGTTCATGCATATGAAACCTCTGTACACTGTTAAAAAACAAAACCCAAAAATTCTTTAGAGCTCCCTTAAAAAAAATCATTACTTACATCTTTTTTTACTATTAAATACAATTACTATAGTATGCTGGACAACAACCACTAACACTTTTAATATTTTCAAGACAAACAAGTTTGAAAGAATACTAGATGAAGACTCCTGATACTTATTTAGATGATTGAAGTCAGCAGAATTCATGGTGACCCACACTACTGAGGTTGTTTCCTACCAGTAGGCAGAGTTGGAAGTCTTTTTTTTAAAGATTTTATTTATTTGACAGAGAGAGACACAGCGAGAGCAGGAACACAAGCAGGGGGAGTGGGAGAGGGAGAAGCAGGCTTCCCGCTGAGCAGGGAGCCCGATGTGGGACTTGATTCCAGGACCCTGGGATCATGACCTGAGCCGAAGGCAGAAGCTTAATGACTGAGCCACCCAGGAGCCCCAGACTTGGAAGTCTTAAAAAAAAATCTTTATCTTGTGTTAATCTACTAAGAATAAGCCCTACTGCAAGAAAATCTTGCTTTATGTACATAATCTTCTAATTTGGATAACAAGAATCATGTTAGCAGTACTCTAAAAGTATTTCACACCAAAGGAAAACACTGATCACAAAACTAATTCTAAGCACTCTATCTGAAGAATAATTTTTCTTTTACAAGCTTAATTGTTTCAGCATTACTGAATCCAGTAGCATCCAGAAGTAAGTAGACTAGGAATTCTCTCGTGAAATGAATAAAGCAAGTTCTGGGAAAGGAACTGATGCTTTAAAACTATCAGCAACCTAGCTGTTGTGAGAGAGCCTAGCTGCTGAGAGTTAGCCAGTCTGAACTTAGACAAAACTTGAGAATATAGGAGAAACCACGATTTCCTGCTCAGTTGTGTGTGTGTGTGTGTGTGTGTGTGTGTGTGTTGTGTGTCTTTGTGTGTATGTGTGCATGTGGGATGAGGTCTTTCAGTGAAGGAAAAGGATTACACAAGAAAAGGTGCAACGCGACTGGAAGATTATTCCACCTATGTACATTTCTTTCCAATACTAGATATTTGAAAATGTTTAGGGCAGCTCATCACTTGTCCTAACAAAGCTGTATCAATTTGTATTAATAGCCTTCTTTGGGTCAAATTGGACATTCTTATACTTCATCACTTTTCCTATCAAAAACCATCTAATTTTTGACTTAGTGTCATATAGACACAAATGTGGAACTAGTTAAGAAAAGTAATTTGAATACATGAAAATATTCACAAACTATGATTATAGTTTGCCTATGACTCACTGTCAGTCAACCACGGGTTTTTCTTTGAATATTTACAGACTTAAATAAGGTGCTCTGAAGATCTAAATACTTGAATAAAAATTCACTTGTAAGTTTTTAAAAACAACTATTTGGAAATGGAAAAGAATCACATTACAAATCAAGTACCTTTAGACTAGCTTGGGAGAGGTTACTTCACTTTCACAAAACAACTACTGAAACTGTAAGCAACAGATGGCTTAAGAAATTGCATAATCAATTTTAACACTAAGTACAACTCAAGTACCTACCATGTAAAATGTTAACTCCTGAGGACACTGGAAGGTTCTACTCAATATCTACCTAAACTATGTCATAAAAACCATGATCTGATGCTAGGACTGGGCTTACAGCATGCAGCGCATCATTTCTTCAAAATCAGCACTCACTAGGATTTCAAGAACAACATAACTAGGTCCTTAAACATTTAGAAAATCGTGTATTTCTAGTATAAAGTAAGCAAAATGGGATATTCAAGTATGCTACTGAACACATCAAATGTTAGAGTCAACCAAAAATACTGCATTTTAATCTGCTTCAATTGGTAAAGTTGTCACACCAAGGAGTACCTAGTATTAGAGTTCATATCACTTCATTTCCTAAAATTGTAAAGATATATAATTTACAACTATATTGAAAATATTTTGTACTCACCTCTAACTAGTCACAGGTAAATGGAGAAAACCTTCTACTACCTTGTACCATATGAAATTGCTGTTTTTGTAGGTCAAAATTAAAACACTGTATTTAAAAAAATAAGTTTTATTCAATCAAAATATGCATCATGAGCATTAATAATTTTCTTCTAGTAGGATATTAAATATTTTTATAAAATTTGTCATTTCTTCAGCTATATAAATTGTTCATATCCCTCCAATTACTGCTTCTTAATTGGAGAACATGTTGTTTCTTAAAAAAAGCTTCAAATGATGAAAAAGATGGTAGTTCGCTGGGTAAAGGTCTGGTGACTATAATGGACATGACAAAATTTAATACCCCAATTCAATTAACTTTGCTTTAGTGGCTTGCGACATGTGACATCAAGTGCTGTCATGTAAAAGTGTGGGCTCATGTTTATTAACCAAAGGATTTTTTTTAATCAAAATTTTCACACACAATTTTAGTTTCTTGGTGATATGCTGCTGCTGCTGCTGTTTCAATAGGGTTTAAACAGTAGTGATTAATTCTTTGCAGATCACCACGTGGACTTCAGAACTTTTTTGGTCACAATGATAATGATGGTGCAAGTCTGGGAGCTTCACCAACATCCAACCATTGTATGAACTACTATCAACTGTCATACAGTATCTTGTTGGGGGGGTTGTTTTTTGTAGGTTTTTGGGGGGGTTTTCTGGTCACAGGTCATGATCCGCTCTAAAAATAGGTTTCCAAAAGTTTTGAATCTTAACAGTACACCTGACTGTCTCCGTTCCTGATCATCTCCCAGGAGGATGTTCTTGGGTTCGTCTTTACACTTTCCCCAGTCACAATAGAAACTCCTGTCTACTTCAAGGCCTTGAAATTGTCGTTTGTAAGTTAGCTTTCACCTTGGCTCTTAATTGGTCTTTGCTCAAAATGGATTCTGATCTCCCCTGAGGCTTGTCTTTGAATCCAGATCCCCAGAACAAGACTTTCCAAACCACCACTGAGCAGTTCTTTCACCAGCTGAGCCTTCTAAGGCCAACTTGATGTTTCCACCTATGTCATTTGCAGTTATGTCCTGGCTTGAAATCATATTAAAAGAAGTATTTGCAATTCTTCCGAGGATACTATTTCTCTGGAAAACAATAACAAAACAACTCAATAATCAAAGGAAACAATGAAGAGCTTAACACTATTATAATTCTAAACAGCACAACTAGAAACATACTTCACTTCAACTCTACTAACTGCAGTCATTTTTCAACTGATCTAATTATATTAGCAATTTCATGTGGTACAATCCACAAGTTAATCAACAAATACTGAGCATCTACTATAGGCTAACATCTGTCTCATATCTGTACAAACAGATATCTTGAAAAGACTGACTTGAGAATAGGAACGTCACTAATTTCAAGGACCCTAGTGGGAAGAAATCTGGTAACATATCTATTATTTTTTAAAACATCCATTAATATGTATGCTTTCTTCCATGTTATGACTACACAGTTTTTTCTGAAAACATGTCAAATAGATCCTTGAAAAATTTTTTGAACCATTTAATATAATATTGCCAAAGTTCAGCTCTGCAATGTACATTTTTCAATGATTCTAACTTTAAAAAGTCAAAACTTGCCTATATTTGCTATATATCATTTTGAAGCTTCAAGAGGCTTTTTTATGATTAACAACAACTAACATTTATTTGTATAGTACTTTCTAAAGCACCCCCATATACATTATTCTCATTTAAGATAGTAAAGACAATACAAAATTTGCACTGCTAATGAAGTAGAATATTAATAAAAACTAAAAGGTAAATAATCTTTTTGTGTGTGCATTTAAAAAAATAATGTAAAACATAAAATCCTGTGTCACTGAACCTCTGTAAGACACAGGAAAAAAAAAAAAACCCTTTAGTTAATGCCGGTGATTAAGCATCACTGCCCACTGCAGGTGGACCAAAAGTTTCCCGAGTACGCATCAACTGGACATCCTTGTCAGCCATACAGGTATCACAGCCCCATACTGCTGATGCCTCTGCAGTCAGGAGACCATAAGCGGTTTCAGTCATTCCAGTGCAGATCCGATGAAACCACTTCTGACAAGAGGCTTCACACAAGATGGCATCCTGATCATCATTCACTTCGTTTGTACAAATTCCACAAGGATACACGGGGTCAGAAGAAGAATGGCCATGACGGCTTGGGTGGAGAGAGGATTTATTGCTTTTTTCAGTGCTGCATGTATCTGGGGCAGCTCTAGGTTGTCGTGGCTTATTCTGTGTCCCATTTGCATGGCTGTTATTTGTAGCTTCTGCAGTACTCGAACGGCTATTCTCTTGATTTACTGCATTGTTTCGATTAACATTTTTTAATTCAATATTACTCTGATTCACTGTGTCATCCATATTTAAGTGAGGTGGATGAGCAGAGGAATTTTGATTAGTGTTTTTGGTTGCTCCTTGACCAAAGTCTTGTTTTTGGGGTGGTGCTTTTGCTTGACTGAAAGTGTTTGGGGGAGGAATAAAAGAATGATTAGATTCTAACGGAGAAGTAAAATTTGAGTTATTTCCAGGGACAAAGTTAGATGCCAAGTCAGGGTTAGACACTTGGTTAGCATTCTGTGGAGGAATCTGATTGAAGTTTTCAGCAGGATTTTGTCGAAAATGTTGATTAGGCATGTTAACATTCTGACTTAGTGCATTATTATAAGATGGATTTCCAAAGCTTGAATTATCATGTGGCCCAAAGTTAAAAGCATGAGGTCGATTAAAACCCATGCCCAAAGGATTCTGCGGAAATGGGTGTGGCTGATTCCTGAGTGAGTAAGGACCACAGTATGGGGAAGACATTCTTGGAGGAACGTGAGGTGGCATTCTGAATGTGCTATAGCCTCCAAAGCCAGGATAACCAGGGCCAAGATACGGATTTGATGAAGGCAGTGGTTTATAGGAAATAGTATTATAGTTGTCATCAAATGGATTAGCAGCCACTAGATGGTCAGAGTTTGGATTCGGTGGTGGAGCATACTCAGACAATGGAGGAAAAGAAGGCCCCTGAAATGAGAATGTAGAATAAAGTACATGTTTCGATCATTAAAACTGTTATCTTAACACATAACAACCTAGCTTTAATCAAATTTCTCTTACTATGTGTTATGAAAATCTAATTCTTCATTTGACCTTTCAATTCCAAATAGTTTTCATATTTAATTATATTTAATGATTAAAATGTGCAGATTTCTTCCTTTAGGAAAGGAAAGAAGGTATGCTTTTCTGAGCTCAAACTCATTGTTACTTCAAATTCCAAAGTTATTTAAGCTTCAAAAGAAGCTTCATTATATAACTTTCGTTTAATATGCTTAACTATAATTCTAGAATCTTTCACTTAAACCATAAAATTAAGTAACAATAAACAGGATCTAAGTTTTTTTACTAGCTCAAAACTTCAGGGAGTAGCTATTAAAGTATTCCCCAAGCACTACGCTCTTGGCCTCAGAATGGAAAAATAAACTTCCAGTTTTAGTCACACTGCAAGTTTAACAGATGGTGGCCAAAATGGAAAAAAGTAATCTGTATACACATCATACTTCCTCGCAGTCTTTAAAAGAAAAAGAGTGCTTCAAATTCACAGGGGATAAAAGCACAGAGGCCTGTTTTTATAACGATTATCCAAGCACAGGTTATACATAAAAGATACTTCCACCATGACCGCTTAATGATAAGTATGTACTACTGAATTATTAGAGCAGCTGAATACTGCTTCAGGTTAATAAACCTGTGTCCCCAGATTTTACAATCTTTTAGCAGAAGTACAGGTATCTATGATTTTTAAGTTAGATTTAAGAATAAGCATTTTGGGTGCCTGGGTGGCTCAGTTGGTTAAGCAACTGCCTTCGGCTCAGGTCATGATCCTGGAGTTTCAGGATCAAGTCCCGCATCAGGTTCCCTGCTTAACAGGGAGTCTGCTTCTCCCTCTGACCCTCCCCAACTCATGTGCTCTTTCTCTCTCATTCTCTCTGTTAAATAAATAAAATCTTTAAAAAAAAAAAAAGAATAAGCATTTTAATTTGTCTGCCTACACTTCCTTCTTGCAATACCCACTTTAGGCCTATAGGCCAACAGTAGCCACTATTTACAGAGTTAAAAAAAAAAAAATCACTGCAGAATTCACGATTAGGTTATGAATGAGGATAGGAAACAAACCCATGACCAAATTTAAATTTACCTCATCAGCTTGATTTTATCAGTGAACAAAAACTGTTATTAAAGAAAATGTCAATTTACCTGTGTATTTGTCTTGCGTTTTTTCTTGTCTGGACTTCCTAGTTGTACACCTGGTCCTCCTAACCCATCCAGTCCACTATCACCACCTAAAAAAAAAAAAAAAATTCCAGATAATATTTCCACTTGTAACTGAAATCATTTTACATCTTTCGCAGCAATATCTATCATAATTACCTGCTAATATGTGTTCTATTTTTGTTAGATAAAAGCAATACTAAGCTTTTTTAAAAAAAATCTTTGTTCCTCAAAAAGTCTTCCCCATAATTTCAGCCAGAAACATTCATCTCTACTTCCATAGTATTTTTTATTATTCTTTCAGTCAGAAAGTCTCCATCCTACACTTGAAGCTTTAGTCATCTGGTTTCTTATCCTGGAGGCAACCACTAGTTTTTGCTCTATCTTTCAAAAGATAATCTAGATAAATTCCAGCATAATATCTTTTGAGGGGAGTACACAAACCATGGCATGCATACTATACACAATGTTCCCTACACCTTGCTTTCTTCTTGAAATCATTCCACATAGTTACATACAGAATTGCTCTATCACCTAATAACTGAGTAGTATTTCATGGTATGATTATGCCATAATTCATTAAACTAGCTCCCTCCCTATTGATGGATATTTAGGTTGTTTCCAAAACTTTGTTGTCTGCAATGAAGAGCTATGTACAAGTATCTTAAATACATGTACAAATCATTCTTAGAACTGGAATTATGGTATTAAAAGGTATGTAGCCTTTAAATTCTTAAAGGTATGGTCAAAGTACAACAACGTATGTATTATTTTCTCAACAGTATATGAACAAACAAAAGCAAAAGCTTGAACGTTTATCAGAATTTTTTTCCATTACAAAAACACTTTTTATTATGGAGGATTCTGATTATTACAAGAGTAGACAGAATAAAATTATGTACACATACATAGATACACATTTGTAATAGATTAATAAATAAGTTCAGTGAGTTGACAATTAGAGGAGACCTACTCACACATGTGGATTCTGAGAAAAGGGGTATTTAAACCGAGACCTACAGGATAAAAAAAATAAAATAAAATAAATAAACTGAGACTGACAGGAGGATAACAAACCTTTCATGTAAACAGCATAAGGAAGAGCCTCTAGGCAGAGAACAGCATGTGTAAAGATTCTTAAGTAGAAAGAAGCCCGATATGTTTGAGAAATTTAAAAGAGGCCAGTGTGTTAAGGGACTCTGGAAAGTGCCACTAGAAGAGTTTAAAGAGATAGGCAGGGACCAGATCATTTAGAGCAGTATGGACTAAATGTGTCCCCTCAAAATTCTTATTTTGAAGCCCTATCCCACAGTATGATGGTATTTGAATGTAGGGCCCTTGGGAGGTAATGAAGATTACATCAAGTCATGAGGGTCAGGCCCTTATGATGTGATTAGTGGCCTTAGGAGAAAGAAGAGTGTGTTCTCCACTCCCCCCCCCCCCCGCCACCCGAGTACAAACACAGGAAAGGCCATGTGAGGACACAGGCGAGAAGGTGGGCATCTGCAAACTAGAGAGCACTCACCAGGAAGTGAATTGGCTAGCACCTTAATCTTGGACGTCCCAGCCTCCAAACTGTGGGAAAATAAGTTTCTGTTGTTTAAGCCACCCAGTCTAAGATACTTTGTTCTTGCAGCCCAAGCAGACTAAGACACAAAGCCTTGTAGTTTATGCTAAGGAATCTGAATTTTATCTGAAGAACAGTGGATGATCATTTAAGGGTTTTGAGCAGGAAAGTGATATGATTTAAGTTTTAGAAGTATTATATTAGCAGCTGTGTTGAGAATGAATTGATGACGGGACAGGGGTAGAAGCAGGGAGATCACTCTTTTACAGTAATAGTTCAGGAAAAGAAATGGTACTTGACAATAAAGAGAAATCAGTGTGTTGGACAAAGACCCCCACCTAACAAAATGCAAAGCAGATATATCTCTAAGAGCTATTCAGAGAAACGTATATACTATGAAGGTAAAAAACTGACAAACGTTAACAAAATTCAGTAAGGATTTTGGGTGTTAAATTAATATTTAAACATAAGAAGCTTTTTTATACACAAACTAAAACCAGTCAAAAGATAGAGTAGAAGAAAAGTTTTCATTTATAGGAACAAAAACTAAACTAAAATAGCTAGAAATAAATTTTAAAAATGCACAAGATCAGTATGAATAAAAACCTTCAAAAGTTCTATATTGAGAGACACAGAGGAACATTTCTAATAATTGGAAAGGTAGTCCCTGTTCTGGCTAGCCATCTAGAACAAAATTACATTGTTTTTTACCTCACTTATTATCCCAAACAGCCTTTTTGTGCCCTCCTCAGACACATTAGCACCAGACATTTGAGTCCCAGGCCCACGGGGTCCACCCTCAAAGTCCAGAGGCATTTAGAATAAGCAGCACCTCCTCAGAGATCCGAGTTTAAACTCCACAGGGCCCCTCCTGTGAATTTATATATTCTAATAATTCCAACTTCTCTCCTGTGGCCTCAGGAATGGTAGTTGCTTCCCACAGTCGATACCTCTGTGAAAACTTTAGTATCCTATTTTGTCACTAGTTTAATGTCTGTTAACAATACCTTATACTAAATTCTTTCTATTAAAAATAACTGGTATGGTTTCTATCTCTGACTAGACCCTGACTGATACATATCTCAAGTGCCACCAGCCAGAAACTGTCATTACTACTAAGTTAACGTCATTCCACACATCTAAGCTTATTACCTACCTACCTACTTCTTCCATGAATACAGAGCAATAGTAATACCTTTACAAAGATGAGATACTATTTTTAAATAAAAACATTAAATTTTAACTTTATTATAATGTAATAAAGGAAAAAAAATGAATTAAACTATAGAATATGGTAAATATTTCTTTACCATAAGAGAAGTTTTTGGAAAGAATCCTCTAAGAAAAGACATCAAGGAAAACATTAAGTTTGAAAAATATATGTCTTTTCTTTTCTCAATTTTAGATAGCATTCATTGAACTTTGAATGTTTAAGATAATATGGTATCATATCTTATTCTACTTTTTCCATCCCATTTCCATCCATCTACTTTTTCTATCTCTGATTCAATTCTTTATTTCAGCTAAATTTTCTTTTATCACATCTTTGAATACTTTTTCTGCTCTTTGTTGAGTACTCTATTTTGGGGGCACTAGTTATCATTATGCTAGAAAAATTTTTAGCACCATATCTATTAGTTAGCTTTTGTTGTATTAATCATCCTGTCTTTGAACTCTTGCTTTTATTTTTGTTTTGTTTTTTCATTAAGGTCTACCAGTTGACGTACATGTGAAATCTTTCCTTCTATCTTTTAGGTTATGGGTCTTCATCTTCTGCATGCTCTTTCTTTTCCTTCTGCTTTTTCTTTTTTGTTAATTCATTAGTTTGCTATAGTATGTTTGCATAGTTATGCTTTTATTTTTATCTTGCAATTCTGTCTAGATCTTTTATTTGCTCTGACTTAATATGGGTGACTTTCTGACTCTCTTTTTTTCATATCTAAGATTACTTGGTTTAGGCAATATGCTTTATCTATTGAGATAATCATGTGAGTTTTTTCCCCTTTAAATTATTTTAATGTTCAACTCAAAACTGACATTCATGAAGTAAAGCCAACTTACTCACTTTTATACAAATGTTACCATTTTCGTGTGACTGGAAATGCTATTATCTCTTTTGAACACTTGCCTATATTAGTAAGATTAACCTCTTGTGTTTCCATGGAACATCCAGGTTTTTAATTCTGACATTTTGTTAAAGGCATGTCTACCTAGTCAGGGGGTGTAGTAACCCACTCACATGGGAGGTTTCCTGTGTTCCCTGATTGAGTTTGTATCCCTGGAGACTTCTTTTCTGTCAAAGACAGTCCTCTTTTTTTTTTTTTTAACTTTTTGTTTCATTCACTTTTTTCTTACTCAAAAGAATGAGAAGACAAAGAATAGTCACTTAATTTCCTTCTCTCCAGACTTGGGGTTATTAGTAAGAATTCTTAAAATTCTATAAATCACTAATAGTTTTCAAGGGCAGAGGTTGTCTTAGAACCTAAGACAGTGCATTTTGCACCGTTTCAGAATTATGTTATTGGGCTGTGCCACCTCCTTTGTTTGCCACTATTGCTGCACATTTTTGCTCTTTTTCAAAAATGGCTTTGGTTCATTTCACTTGGAATTTAAAAAGAGATTCTGTAGTTTTGTTCTACCATCTTAACTTAGAAGTCTGTATCTGACTGTATCTATGTTCTTTCAGTTCAATCTTCATTAACAGCCTAAGAGGTAGGTAAGTCATCTCCACTTTTTAAAGAAAGAAAAAGAAACAGAATGCAAAGGAGTCATACCACTGGTAAAAAGCAGCACGGAAATCTAAAATCAGCATTTTGTTTCCTTTTGCTTTTAAGTTTTTGAGGATATTGGCAAAGTTGTACAACCATTACCACTATTTAATGCCAGAACATTATCATCACCCCATCATATACTCATTAGCAGTCATTTCCCAGTCCCCCAGGCCCTAGCAGTCATGAATCTACTTATACCTATTTTTGTATTCCTTATAGAAATGGAATCATACAATATGTGGCTTTTTGTGTCTTGTTTCACTTACACTAGAGTAACGTTTTCAAGCTTATCCATGCTATCGTATGTATTATTTCCTTTTTATAGCCGAATAATATTCCATTGTATGGATATACCACATTATATTTATCCATTGATCAGCTGGTGAAGAATTTGAGTTTTACTTTTTGGCTACTAAGAATAATGCTGCTATGAATATTTATGGACAAGTTTTTATATAAACATATGTTTTCAATTCTCTTGGGTATATTATCTGGTAACAGAATCACTGGGCAATATGGTATCTCTTAAGTTTAACGTTTTGAGGAACTGCCCAACTGCTTTCTATAGTGGCTGCACCATTCTACATTCCTGCCTGCTAAGTCCGAGGGTTCCAATTTCTTCACATCCTCCCCAACATTTATTTTGTTTCTTTTTAAATTTTTTTAAAGATTTATTTTAGAGCGAGAGAGAGCAGGGGTATGGGCAGAGAGAGAGGGAGAGAAGCCAAAGTAG